TGTTTCATCACAAAAAAATGCCAGTCTTATGAAAGAATTTTTTCAGAGAGTCTCCTGTCTTCACTTATCAAACTTATAAAAGAGACAACCCTCAAATTTGTGTCATTCTTAATCTTTTCCTCAACAAATCTTTAAACATTTGTGAATCCCCTAAGGACAAGAACACCACTTATGCATCCATTTTCTGAATCCCTTCCTTGGACTTTCCTAATTCAGGTCTGTCACTAATGTTGTGCAGCATGTATGCAAAACCACCAGCAGTGAGGGTGCTGCCAACCTCACAGAAACCTGCAAGAGCTTTTCCCTATCAATTAACATGAGTTTGCTCTTCATCTCATAAGTTTGAAAATTGAGTTTGTGATTTATTGCTATGGTAAATGTGCTTATGCTAAAAACTATGCCAAGGAACAAGATTTTATGGGCCAAGTAGTAAACCCCATAAAATCAGGGTTTAAAATGGAAAATGTTATTCAGACTAATTATGGGTCATGCAATTTGGCATTGGTAGAGCAAGCTTTATTTAAATGTTATCCCAAATGAGGCCATCAGAACACATGTGCTACAGACACAGCCCAAATCCCTGGTCAGTATGTGGAAGAAGGCTGCAGTGTGGCAAAGGAGTATGACTGCCACCAACATCCTTGTGGCAATTTTCCCATTAGACAGCCATGTAGTGAGCCTTCTCAAGCTGTAGACAAAGGACAAAGGGCAATAATGTTTAGTGTGGAGTCAGGGGAGGGTAGGGAAAAAACAGAATAAAGAACTCCTAAGTCAGAAAAAAACGGTGTCTGGTGGGAAATCTTTTCAAAAAAACCCATCTTGAACAAAAACATATTTGCTATGAATTCAAGAGCTGAAAGAATTTAATTTCTAAGATGCAGATAAATTAAATGTATGAAAACTGTTTACTGTAATGGCTACAATTGATGTAATTATAATGATAGACTATTATATTTGTTCAACTTCATTTCAATTGAAATAATATCTCCATGAACAAATACTAAAGTCCAAGATGACTTATTACTTTCTACTCTGGGACAAGAAATGAGTTCTAAATTTGAAATGCTCTTTCCTTTCTTAAATTGTACAGATGGTGTTTTGCTGATAATTCTTGATATTCATAACAAATTGGCCTACATTTCTCACTTTTATGGTATTATGAAAGGGCTACGCTGAACATAGGGAGGGCAGTTTTATTTAAAAATATATGATTTAAGGACCGAAGTAAAATCCTGATATTCAAGGCAGACTATATGAAGAAACAAAGCATAAAGGCTGTGGGCCCCACACTCTGGGCTGCAGACTGGTACCAGTCTGTGGCCTGTTAGGAAGCAGGCCACACAGCAGGAGGTGAGCAGTGAGTGAGCAAACAAAGCTTCATCTGTATTTATAGCTGTTCCCCATGGCTTGCATAACTACCTGAGCTCTGCCTCCCGTCAGATCAGTGGTGGCATTAGATTCTCATAGGAGCACAAACCCTACCATAAACCGTGTATGCAAGGGATCTAGATTGTGCGCTCCTTATGAGAATCTAATGCCTGATGATCTGAGGTGGAGCTGAGGCAGTGATGCTAGCATTGGGGAGCGGCTGCAAATACAGATTATCATTAGCAGGGAGGTTTGACTGCACAGAGACCATAATAAATCAATTGCTGGCAGACTCATGTCAAAACCCTATTAGTGAGTGGCAAGTGACAATTAAGGTGCATCTGGTGGCAGGCTTTAAGTCCAAATCTGATATTTATTTTAGTCCACATGTGGCCTTCCCATTATTTTATTTACCAGTTCCATCTTCACCTCTTTCCTGCAGGGCACCCTTGTCTCAGTCACAGTTTTTGGTAAGCCCACAAGCTAACCCTAGCAAAAATGATAAAAACCAAACATCCCTGGAGAGCTTCTTTGAAAAGGGGTAAAGGCCCAATGATGAGACAGCAGAAGACTCTAAGACTACCAACAAAATGAAAGCTACATTTAAAAACAAAATAACAAGAGTTCTACTTAAACTACAGGTTCATTGCAACAGGTGATTCACATTCCCCAAGCCCACTTTGTATAATATGTGGCCACTGGCTATCAAACAAAGCCTCATTAAAACCTTCAAAACCATTTCTCCACATGGAGACCAAGCACCCTGCATTAAAAGACAGGCCTTTGGAGTTTTTAAAAGAAAAAAACATGAACATGAAGAACAGAAGCAATTATTGAATGTCACCACTTCATCAAATGTGTCTGCACTGAGAGCATCATTCTTAGTGGATAATCACATTGGTAAAGCTAAGAAACCCTTTACTATTGGTAAAGAGTTGATCCTTAGGGAGGAAAATGGCAGATTAATGGTGACCTCCTGGCTCTCTGCTTCCAGAGTAGGAGGTGAAGAACATGGATAGCTACGCATGACTGGATCACTCTCCCATAAGAACAGCATTGTGAATCTTCAGAGAAGCAGCATAGGACAAGCAGCACTGGAAAAAAAAAAAAAGGTGAATTGGAGAATCAACTGCAAAATCTGGAGAGTGCAAGATATACAATAGGGAATAGCACATGGAATAGCCATGCCCATCGGCTGGCCAGGGCAGTGTGATCTGACCCACAGGAGGATGACTTTTCCTCCACCGACCTCTTCATCCATTTAGGCAGGGAAGTGTCAGAAGTCAGTGCAAAATTGTGGCATGGGATGACAGGCTACATGGAGAAGAGAGAATGGTGGGAAACATTTTGAACTCTCCAGTGCTCTGTGCTAGGTATGCACTGGGAGGGGGAGGGTCTGGTCTGAGTGGATACTTCCTGGGTGCACAGGAGGGAGTTTGGAGACAGGCACCTCACCTCTGGTGGTCAGTGGAACCAGAACAAAGGAGATGAAAGCCAAAATGGAGGCTCCACTCCTGGAAACCACTGAAGATTCAGCTGGTGCAGGCTGGGACAGACAGTGCAGGACCACCTACTGGACTGACATGAGACAGTGGGTCAGGGAAGCAGTAGAGACAGCTGGCATCTCATTGAGACAGCCTGCCAAACCCAGCACTTACTGCACCCTAAGCGGTAGCCTCCAGTGCTGGCTCTCTGTGGGTAGGCAGCTGCCATTTGGGGATCCAGGACCTAGAAATGCTGTGGCATGTTGTGTATCTGAGTACCACCCCTTCTCCAGCCCAGTAGGGCAATCCCATGCAATGCAGGCCCCACCCTTGGAGGAGGGGAGTAACAAGAGAAGCCACTTTCTGAACATTCCTCCTCCAACCTGGCCGATTGCTTTTTCAGACCTGCAGGACAAATGCCACCCTTGGAGGAGTGGAGTTTTAGAAGCCGCTTCCTGGGCTGAGATTCATGGTGGTCTCAGCCAGCACACTTCTCCCAGCAAGCGGACTTGACTTCCTCTCCGACAGGGCAGACTCCACTTTTGGAAGCAGGGAGATGGGAGAAAAGTCACTTTCTCTGTGCAAATAGTGTGAATCTGTGGAACTTTGGAAGTAAGCAAAACGGGGCAGACTGTTGATTCAGTCCAGCAAGTTGGTTTTGATCATCTAATAAGAACATAACTTAGGGCTCACCCTTGGCACCCAGGCTGCTGCCAGCTTTGGGGCTTGTGGTCAGAGAAGGAAAATCCTGGCCAGAGTCCTTAGTAATTGCACCATTTAACACCCCCCTACCTGGAGCTGCCTCGCAAGTATGGTGAAAGAGCCCTGAATAACATATTAGCAGCTCTCCCCTGGCAGCATATGCAGCAACCACGGAAGTATATGCTCGCTCTCAAGCTCACAGGTACCTGTTTCCCTTACCCCACCTAAAGTGGCAACAAGGCTCAAGTAACCCTTGGGAGTAACAAGACATTTCCCAAAGATCGAGGTACTTGAATACACCATTTGGGGTCGGGAGCCCAACACAAAGGCACTGGAATACCTTGATAATTGACTACTCCACACAAACTACAAGCAACAAAAGAGAGGATAACCCATAGCTCAACACAGTGCCCTCCATCTCAAACTAGTGGAGGGCAGTGGAGTCACACACATAATAGTGATTCACCACCTAGGAGCTTAATCAAGGAGTCCAAACTCACTAATCTCCTTTGGCAAGAAGTGAAGATAACAAAGATAACCCAACAGGCTAAAACACCTCTAAAGCAATAGAGGACCAGAGTGTTCTGAGTCATCCTCTCATTCCACATCTTAACAACAAAAGAATGCATACTAAAATAAAATAAAGTTAATCTGCACTTGGAAAAAATGAAATTAAAGTTATCACAATATTTGACCTCAATACATAATAATATACACTTAATAGAAAATGAAAACCACATCTGGAAAGACAGCACAATCTACCACCAACACATGCAAGGTTCAAAGAAGAACTCAACATGGAGGTGGTAAGACATTTAGTATCTGGCTAGAACCCTAAATGTAAACTCTAAAAAAATTTAATTTTGATGTCATTAATTTTGTAAAGATAAATCACTTAACTTTTTTTTGATAGGGTCCACTTTTTCCATTTTATATAAAAATATTGGTAATATGAAAGAAAGCACTATTAAAATGCAGAAAAAAGTCTTAACCCAAAGAATTGTCATTAAGTCAACCGTATACCCAAGAGTCACATTTTCTTTTTCAACAAATATGTTTGAGCACTATTAGGTGCCGAGCACTGTGCAAGAATAATAAGATGTAATACTTGCCCTTAAGAAATGTAAAGTCTAGTAAATGGATAGAGTGACATACACAGTAGAAGTAATGAAGTGATGTAGCATCTATGACAGAAGTTGATACAGTGAAATACAAAGGAGAGAATAGTTAATTTTTCCAGATAATGGATAACAAAGATGAGAAAATGTTTTAGGAATTTTCAACTTCACAAAGAAGGGGATCTTTGAGCTAACCATGGAAAGACGTGTAGGTGTTCACCAGGAAAACAGGATGTTCTCCAGGTGAGGAAGGAGAGGAAGGTCGATGGGGAGTGTAAAAAGGCAAAAAGCATTAAATGATATGATTTATTTAATTAATTCCAAATAGTGCAACTACATCATGGTACACAAGAAAGGACACAGCAAGGGATGAGACTGGAGAGGTAAGCTGGGGCCAGACCACAGCATAATCTATGGTAAGAATTTGGGTTTTTATCTTAAGAATACTGGGTAGTTATTGAAAGGTTTTAAACAAGGAGGAGATGTGATCATACTCAGGTTTGATAAATATCCTTCTAGCATCTTTTGGAAACTGGATTGGAGAAATCAAACCTAGAGGCAAGGAGGCCAAAGGAGGATATTGGAACAACCCAGGTTGGAGACAACAGGAGAAAACAAGAGCTGATCCAAGGCAATAGTCTGAGAATAGAGACTAGAGGAAGGTCCAAGCAATTGACCTTAGCATTTGATCAGCTAAAGGAAATGAGGACCAAGGAAAGGCAGGGTCATGAACGACTCCTAAGTTCCCGAGCAGATGGCAGTTCTGTTTCCTAAGATGGGGACTTTGGGAGGAGGACAAGCTTTGGAGTAAAATGCAAGGTGTTTAGGTTTGGCCATTCCAAGTTTGAGAAGCCTATAACTTAGGAGGCTGAGGCTGGGCATGCACCTCTAGACTACACTCTATCTCATATGTCAGACGTAATCATTCACAGTTAAGATGCCAGGGTACAGTTGGTCAGTCCAACCCCACTAAAACCAGAGTTTCTTCTGTCTTACTATTGAAAGAAGAGGGATGGCTAAATTCACTGAAGCTGAAGGGTAAGGCAGTCTTGCTCAAGTGAGGCAGAATGGAAAATATGGCCAAAATGTTCCACAAACAGACCATTACTCCTATATTCTTTCCTTGGCTGATGTAGGCCCTTATTAGTTACTTTAATAAGGGGTGGGGAACCTGCAGCCTCAAGGCCACATGTGGCCCTCCAGATCCCCAAGGGCAACCCCTCAACTGAATCCAAACTTCACAAAACAAATCCCTTGATTAAAAGGATTAGTTCTATGAAATGTAGATTCAGTAAAAAGGACACACTCAAGGATCCAGAAGGTCACATGTGGCCCCAAGGCTATAGATCCCCCACCCCTTCCTCACCCTCATGCTCTGGCTGGGTAACTTGACTTTCCCAAACCTGCCCACCAAAAGCCTTTGTCCTGCATCACTCACGAGCTTAACATAACCAGCATATTTTATCATTAAAAACACCTCTTAAAGGCCATAGCAAAAGATAGTTGTGCTCCATCAATAGAAAAGCAAGCTCATTCTGATACTGTTCAATAGGCAAAGGAAGCAGTATTAACCAAGTATATACATTAACTGTGCACAATAAAAATTGCTAAGGAGACCACCTATATCCAAAGACCACCTTCCAAAATAGGTAATGGCTCTCAGTATGTAGTTTATTTCCCATCAGAGTAATGTGTTTTGAACCTGCCTTATGAGACCACCTGCCTAACATGAATACAGGCCCTTTACCCAGTACATTAGGCTATTTAAAAAAAATAAAACCTTTTAAGAAAAAGTTATACAAAGTGTATAGCTCAGCCAGCTCCAGCTTCACATTTATGCCTGTCTCTATGAGCAATGCTTTTCTTGAAACCACCCCACATAGGGTTTTAAGCTTGCCCGCTGAGTTCTTAGACCTCTGAGTACTGAGACAATAGGCTTCCAGCTGTTCCACAAGCTGAACTTGCACCCAGCAATGGTTCTTAATGGTTAATGGTTCATGGAGAGGCTACATCCAACCTTGCTGGAGGCTTCCTGAGATCAGCTATGGAGACCCCACTCTGTACGAGATCATTCCAGAAAATCTTTGGGATAATTTGGGTGACATTCAGGGCTAACTACATTGACTCCAGCATAATTATAGGTTATGAGGCCCCAAAGAATCATTCTGCATGTGTTAGCAGCATAAACTATAGAGAGCACTGTTAAACTGAAGACCACCTGCCAGAAAGACTACTTAATTTTAGAACCCAGGGTGGTCTCCATATGCAGATTTCATAGTTTTACATTATGAGCAACAAAAGGTTAAATACATTGTGCTGGGTGGTAAGTTCAGAGTAGAGCATTTTGAATAAAAGTAGGGCCAAGAAGAAAATTCCACCCAATTATTTAGAGAAAGAGACTGCAAGCAATGCACAGCAGCAGGCAAGAGCAGTAAGCAAGCCTATGAACCACCAAAAATCAGTTTCTGTAGAGGGAGTGAATTAGGAAAAAAAAAAAAAGGTGCAGGTACTAGAACAAGAAACATGGCAGGCCTTCCCTACTCAAGGGTCACTTGTTGAAGAGAAGGATCTCTGTGTGCAGTCACCCTTCTGACAATTCTCTCTCAGGCCAACAGAATGCCACAGAAATGCACAGGTAAATGCTGAATAGGCTGTCACTTTTAAAGGCAAAGATAAATATGACTGCGGGTATATACACATAGTAATAAGCCATTATAAGTAAATTTAAATTAATAATAGGCAAATGGGCAAGGGGTGTCTGCTGGTGGTCCTCTGGAATCTGGAATGTATACACGTATAAAATTTTTTTTTAAAAAAGAATCTTACTAGGTTCTTAGCAAGGCTCCTTTTCCTAGTTTCTTTCTGCAGTGATCAAAGCTTATACAGCCTGCACCAAAGGAGTGAAGGAAACTCATTCCTTCCAGGCTGCTAGAATAAAAGGAGCACAATTACCGTCTACAGGTTGCAGGAAGGTTTATCATTGCTCCTTCGTGCATGCTCCCTGGGCTCTGTAATGAGCATATGGTAAAAAACGTTTTGTTGTGGCTAGGATGACATACCTAAAGGCCCAACACGTTAGGTTTTATGGCTGATCTTTGCACATTGTTAACAAATACTATGAAATCCAGGAACTCTACTTTTAAACAGCTGTGAGAATTCACTGACTTCCAATATCTCATCCTAAAAGAGGAAAATGGTTAATGAGATCCAAGCTGAGCACTTTCTGAAAACCTAATTCTGAAGTTATGGACCCTAATAAAGATATATTAGCACCTACTTGATACACTGTCTAAATTCTGCTTTCAACAGTTGAAATTGCATATCTTAACTTTCAGCCTGAGACCAGGTGGCTTATTTTGGTAAATTGATGGTTTTAAAGAGTTTTAAAACATACCATAACCTTTTTTGCTTTATTTGGGATGTTCTTTGTTCAGCATTAATTGGCTAATAAAACTCAAATCTTTTAAATTCACCTTTTAAAAATGGCCCTATTTTCTGATAGAATTGACAAGCCACTATTAAATGCATACAGCCCAGTGTCCCATAGACATGAGATATTCTGACTTTTGTTCCCTCAAAAAACAATCATAAAAAAAACCCTAAATTGCCTGCAAAGTACATCTTAGTGATCAAAGTCCCAAAAGTTGTGAGGCATATTACAAAGTCAATGAAACCAGTGATTTTGGTATTCGCAGTTCCTGTTTCTGAAACATTACCCAAGTTCCCTCTTGAAAGGCCAGGTCATAACAGTGGTTTGGCTTTTTAGAAATTCCTGGACGCCTCGAAACAAGTTTTAGAGTCTATAAAAATTTAGTTTAATGTTCTCATATCAGGAATGAGAGAAATCAAGGGCTAACTAGATAAATGATTTGCCTAAAATCAAATTAATACTGTTAAGTAAGCAATACTTAATATGTCTATTATGTGCTAAGTATTCGACATGGATTGTCTCATCTGTACCTCAGAACAACCCTAGGGAAAATTGTAATTATCATTCTCTATTAGTTTTCTACTGCCACATAACTGATTACCAAAAACTTAGTGGCTTAAAACAACTCAAATTTATTATCTCATGGTGTCCATGGGTCAGGATTCCAGCACAGTTTAGCTGGATTCTCTGCTCAAGATTGAAGTCAAAGGCTGAAACCAAAGTGTCAGCTGGCTGCACCAGCATCCCAAGGCTCACCCAGGGCAAGATCTGCTTCCACACTCGGGGATCTGCGGTCCCCATTTTCTTGCTAGCTGTTTTCACATTGAGTAGAAATTGGAAATTTTTAAAGATCAAAATTTTGTTTTCATTTTTTCTAAATGCAGGGAGTGTGATCTATAAATGTGCTTCTATGAGTCTATTTTCTTTTTAAACATCACTTTCATGTGTAAGACACTTCTATTTCCTGCTAATGCTGCTATTGTTTAGATGCATATACTCATTTCTAATGCATAGGAAGTTACTGGCCTCATTGTATGATTGGGTCAGCACCCAATTCCACATTGCTCTGAAGAACTAGATGGGATAGACCCCAATAGTTTGTGGAAATATGGAACATACGTTAAATAAACACCAGAATAAAGTTGTAAAATCATTATGTGAATTAATATAATGCATGCTTTTAATTATGCAAGTCTCAAGAATAAGCAGAGAAAGTACACCAGAGGCATTTCCTTATCCTGGAACACGCTTGCCTGCTCCTTACCTATCCACCCAACTCCTGCAGTCTAACTCTATTCACCTCACAGATCCCAGTTAAGGTATTATGCCTCCCACAAAGATTGCTCTTACCCTAAGTCTAGGATAAATGCCCTCCCCACCCAAGTATCCGTACTCATCCTATCATAGCATTTTTCACACTGTATTGTAATTACCTATTTTAAAATAGATTTTCCTAAATTTCCAAATATATACACTGCAAAAAAAGACCCCCATGAGGGGTTTCTGTCTTATTCTCCATGACATCCTCAGCACCTAGTATGTGTCTGGCATGTAGTAGACACAAATTAAACGTGTACCCAATAATTGAATTAAGTTGGGCCTGATACCCAGGGGAAACCTGTGACCTGATAGAGTGGGAAGTAAACAATCAGTTCTTTGATCAATCCAGAAACTCCTAAGAGTAAAGATGGGGTTGCAGAAATTGCCACTGGCAGTATTCTATTTAATTAACACAGTCAATGTGAGTCATTGTGATAAACATTCCTCGAGCACCTGCCGCCTGATGGCAAAGACTATGTCAGGCAAAGGAGCTCTGCAGAAGTGGTCTGGGACCGCAGTGCTGCTGATGAGGTCAGACCTCCATCTGGTCTCCATAGCGGTCACCACAGTCCCTTGCACTCCCCTGACCTCACCCCACCCCCAAAAGAAAACTGTCACCCAGCAATCTCACACCTTCTTGATGAATACTCAAGACTGTAGCCTGATTGCTTACCTATGTCTAAACAATTTTAAACCTACACCCATCGTGTCTCCCAGCTCTGTCACCACCAGATTTCCAAGTCCCCAAGGTCATCCATCAGCACAAACCATCCTCTACCACCACCAAACTCCATTTCAGCCACCCACTGCCAAGGTCATGGCCTTCATTTTATCTCAAACAATCACAACCCCTCTGAGATCACCATTTCAAGCATCCCACTCTAACAACCATCTTCAAACTTCCCATCTCACTTATCTATTAACCCCATTCCAGTAATTCTTCAAACATATGAAGAGCTTTAATCCATCACCACTTTATTACTATTCATTGCTCCTTCTCCTATCTTCCCAGACCTAAAATTAAGTTTTAGTATTATGTGCTGTCTTGACATCTGGGAACAATCTGGAGCATCTTGAATGGCCCAGCTGAAAATTCCCCTCCCCACTCTGCTCCTGCAGATAAAGTCCCCTAGCCAAATAACCCTCCTTATCATGAGGGCCATGAACAGTTCCTACTTATCCCTGAATAGCAGATTTTAGTTCCCGGTGAGCCCACAGAATTATTCAAATAAGCCAATCACATCCTCCGGTGGGAACCAGAAGGTACCACTACCCTCTTGAAATTACAAAGTCTGCTTCCTACAATCCTGGTTGTTCACTCCATTCCTGAGTGCAAACCCTGCATGGCCCTGCATGGCACCTGGGGTCCTGCTCCCTCGGGCCATAAGAATATGTGACTAATAAACTACCATCAATCCCATCTGTCCAGTATTGGGTGTCATATGTCCAGCCATTCCATAGCCTTAGGGCAGGAATCCCTCCCTCACCAACAGAGTAAAGAGACTATGGAAACACAGGACCTGGTAACCCATCCTAGATCCCACAGTTCATCGTTACAATCATCACTTAACACTTGTAACTCCCTCACCCCTCATTTCCACCATCAGACCCTAGGGGAAAGCACAATCAGTGAAGCCCAACTGTCTGTCCCACATCTGCAACAAGAGTGCTCTACTGAAGGAAATGACACAACCATAGTTCCTGATCTTACTTTTAAAAACATGAGTGCAAATTTTAAATGCGTATCCACTTAGTAAATCACTTAGTTATGTCCCACTCTCTGAGATTAGTATTTCATGCTCATAGCCTACAGTCCCCAACCCCTCCACTCTCAGCTCACTACGCTCCAGCCATACTAACCATTTTGTTCCCTGAACTCGTTATAAGTGTTTCCACCTCTAGGTCTTTCCACTTGCTTCTCTACCAAGAATGCTCTTCCTCAAAATATTCACATGGCTATTGGCCATAATAACTTGTCTCACATGTTATCTACTCAGAGTAAGACCTACCCTAAACACACCAGCTGTAGGAGCCCCCTACATACCAGTTCACTCTGCCACATTATCCTATTGTGTTTTCAAATCACAATCTGAAATTATCTATTTATTTTGTTTGTTTATAATCTGTCTCTATCTAACCAAAATGAAAGCTTTATGGAAGTCAGACATTTTTCACCATTCTCTTCCAAGAATCTAAAACAATTCCAGGTACATAGTATGTGCTCGATAAATATTTGTTGAATTAATGTCTAGGAATTTATTTTTACAAGGAATAAAGAGAGGGTAAAAGTGCTAATATTTCACATTACATCATGGCAGTACATTTATTCACCAGCATTCCTATTTTTTAATGGACTTTCTTATAATTTTTAATCATTTACAAACAAAGAGAATTTCATTTAAGCAAACTGTCGTCCAAACCACTAATCATTTATATCTTAAAATTCACGAATCTTTCAGAACTACTATATATGATCGATGGCAAAGCCTAATGAAGAGTTTGAATCCAGATCTTAATATCAGTAAAACCAAGTATGTCCTATACCTTCTGTTACATCGATTTGGCTTAATGATGATTGGCATATTGACAGTAAGAGGAAGTAATTACAGTTTTCTAACATAAATTAGGTTTCCTTTAATATCTGGGTCTCAAATGTTACCTGGAACCAATATTCTCAGCTCCCTGGACTCCTTGTATTACTCTGAACTGGTTAAATCTACCACCGTACCACTGTATTCCATCATATTCCACTCGAATTCATGACATATGGTTAAACGTAAGGGAGACTTTGTGGCAGGAAACAGTATTGAAAACTCACTTAATTCCATGAGCATTTCACGATGGCAGTCCCTGTGCCAGGTGCTGCAGGGGACTCAAAGGAGAGGGAAGTGCAGCGCCTGCTCTCAAGGCGCTTACAGCCCTCAGCAGCACTGGTTTGAGAGACACAAGGGACATCATTGAACAAATCCTTCACTGGGGTTATCAGATCGACTAAAAGCAAAACCATTTGATTTAAAAGCTATGTATCTGATGACAGAAACTTGTAACAGCCAAAGGTTAAGTGTAGTTTGACACCCATAATTTACCAACTAAAATTACCTTGTCTTTCTATATGTTCTTTTAAAGAACTTCAAGAGAATAACAATCTTTGCTGTGGGTTTAGACCCTGGCTGACTCTGAAAATTGTTCTGCAGTATTTATAAGTTTTTCTAATGTCATTTTTCTATATTACATTCTCCAAGAAAGATGATTGTAATACATTATAATTTATTTCATAGCCATTTGTATTATAATAATATATATTATTACATTATATGGTTATTGGGTTATAAATATAACCAAGCCAAATCAATTTATGCAATGCAATTGTGGCCCAAATCTTAGTTTGATGTGTCCAATAATTCAAGTTGCCTCCAGAGCCAGCTACCAGCAGACCATAGTTGACAGGCGAGACATCATGTCAAATTCCTCCTAAAGCTCCTCAACTATTAGTAGCTAAAAGTATTTTGCAAATATTCTTCAAATATTTTGTTAAAATTGCTTGGGAACAACATGCAAAGAGACAAAGGCCTTTTGCAGAGTTAGGTCAGGGGACCAACAATAAAGGCAAGATCTGTTGCTTTGACTTTATGATGCAATATCCTCCATAAATTTGCATAATTACGTGAGGAATGATTTATCCTACACAGCAACCTCAGCCAGGTCCTTGGTCCCCAGATTTTGCAAGGTTGTCTGTGTTGGATCTATATTCCCACTTATGGAAAGTCAGGAGAATGATGGGGCCTACTGGCTCACCAATAATGCAGAGTTTAATTCTAAGATGCTTTAATATATTAACATAAAAGATATATGTTGTTTGCACAACACAGGTGTTTACTTAAAGCTGGATATATTTCTTACTGTCTTTCCTTAATGAGAGTGGAGAGATCTAAGAGGCTAAGGATGAGTGAGATAGATCTTTTTCAAAGGAAGAGGCATTTTCTTCTTTTACATCTCTATTTCCCACATATAAATCTCTATAGCTAAGGGGACGTCTCCAAGAAAGTCAGCAATTAGAATGGCAAATGGATTTCAACACTGACGCTAAGACATTGGGAGTAGCTGCTGGAAACAGTGTACTGAGGAACACATTTGCCATGGCAGAACTGGGCTCACCTCAACCCACCCAAACCTTGAATCAAGTCAGCATTTAACAAAGGAAGCACCTTGGCCCCACCTGGTGGGAGGAGCCTCTGGGTGCCATAGTCTCACTCTTGGTCCACCCTTCTCTCCTCTCTGCCTGTATATTCCCCGGTTATCTTTTAAGGCCAAACCCAGACTCCAACTTTCCCAGAAGTCTCCCTGACTTCACACATTATTCTTTCCTCAGAACCTTTATTACATAAAGTATATGTTACACAAGTGTTTTATTGGATATTGTTTTCTAGCAAAAGCTTAACTTTAGAAAAATGGACGTGGTCTTATATTTTTTTTCTTTATACATTACAGGGTCCAGAACGCTGTTAGCCACACAAGATATGCTTTGTAAATGTTTGATCTTGTTATTGAAATAAAGATCTTGAATGCCAAGCTGTTGGCAAACTGCTCTTAGAATGATCAAAATCCGGTTCATCTTAATATGGTCATTCATAGAGGAACCTACAGACAAGTTGTTATAAAAAGAATAACACTGCTTATCTTCTCAAAGGGGTTCATTCAGCAAAGTACTGATAAAACAAAGTAATCTTACTTTTAAGTTAGGACCACATTTTCCAAATGACGTCAAAGGTTTTGGTTACAGGCTCCCTTCCTTTTTCTCCTGCAACCTCCTGTCTCACTGGAGAACCCCACAGTCTGCTGATCACTTTTCTTGTGACAGGGTCCCCCTGGCTACCCCTGCTGTTATTGATGAATGCAAATGAGACTTGCCTTTGGGCTCACAGAATGTAGCAATTAGGACTAAGGTTTATCTCCAGCAGGGAGGAGGCAAGTCCTCCTCAGAACTAGAAGTCACTACAAAGTGTGAGTAAAAATATCCATCCCATAGGGCTGCTAGGAGGCTTACCCATGGTGATGAGGGGCGATGGGCCCCTAATACTATCAGGTAGTTCACTCTATACCTGGAGATCTTGTTGCCATTTTTATAGTCTTGATTTAATTGTCCTTTCTTAACCTCAGCTTTGAGTTTTGGGAATCCAATTTGTTCTGCTAGTTCTTTTTTTTTTTTTTTTTTAGACAGAGTCTCGCTTTGTTGTCCAGGCTAGAGTGAGTGCTGTGGCATCAGCCTAGCTCACAGCAACCTCCAACTCCTGGGCTCAACAATCCTGCTGCATCAGCCTCCCGAGTAGCTGGGACTACAGGCATGTGCCACCATGCCCTGCTAATTTTTTCTCTATATATTAGTTGGCCAATTAATTTCTTTCTATTTTTGGTAGAGGTGGGGTCTCACTCTTGCTCAGGCTGGTTTCAAACTCCTGACCTTAAGTAATCCACCCGCCTCGGCCTCCCAGAGTGCTAGGATTACAAGCATGAGCCACTGCACCTGGCCAGTTCTTACCACTTTTTGTACAGGCACTTTTCTTGTCATTGCCCTTCTCCACCCCCTGTAAATCCGTGTCCAGATGATTCAGTGCCCATCCTATCAGCAGTCCAAGGCTGATGGTTCGCACCTAACGAGGCAACTCTCAGATCATGTACAATTTCCATGTCCTTATTTTTCCTTCTTCCTAGTAAGCTGCTTTTGGGTCTCTTTGCATCTTTTAAAAGCCACAGCACTTTGAAATAAAGAGCTGAAAATCGAAATTATGTTCATGAGCTGTTTGCTGCAATTCTGATAAAAGACCAGGTGGGAGGGGGGTGAAGATTAGAATGAATGGATGAAATGAAGTAATGAGGCTTAGAAATTACTTGTTGATACCAATTATCTATAGTCTTTTATGCTCTCCTCTCCACACATTGTCCTTTTCCCATTACTGTGTATAATTGAAAAATGAAATTTGCAAATTCTATGTTATCTAATATGGAAAAAAAAAAAGAAGAGTTATACTAAGGAGTTATATTATGACGAGGGAAAAATGTCCTGAAGGCATTATTTTCTCATTCTAGACTATCATCATTTTTTCTCCTCTCCCTCTGCCTATCATCACTTCTTATCCAGATACTCTGTCAAGAAAGAGGTTTTTTTTCCTTGTGTTTGACTTCTGTCTCAATCTATGTGCCACTTAAGGATGAAGGGACATTTACTCAAGACCCAGTTTATGTCTAATGTCAATAGTGTGAGTAACTTTTTCTGACGCCAAATAAAGAACAGAACTTCAACCTAAAAAAAATTGAAAATGTTCTATCTTGACAGTTCAGTCAAATTGAATTTCAATTCTCAGGGTTTGTTCCACTTTCTAAGGCTTGTGTAGTCCCTGTATGATTTCCCAGGGTGTCACCGCACTTTACCTCTCCTTCCTTCTCCAATTTACCTAATGATTGAGAAATACAATATTCTGAACTTCAGCTAAATACAAGACAGCCCCTTGATAATTTTTTTGTTGTTGTTATATTGAATGTGGCTGTCTCCAGAGAATCAAACAAATAAACTAACATAGTTGGTAAGTTGGTATTTACTGAACTTAATTTATGATTACTTCATTATTTCTCTTTAGCCCTCCATCATTCAAGTGCATTCGGCACTTTGATGAGCCCTACGTTATGCCTCAGCATACGTACATCAAGGAAAAGGAAAACAATTCCTAACCATTGCAAGTAAATAGTATAGCTGGGATTTGTTTTGTTTCTGCCATATGCAAAGCACTATAGTAAGGTGTGTTCATATTATATTAAGTTACATAACGGTACACAGCAGAATATTAGGGTTTAAAATAAGTGATTCACATTCAGTCCCACCTAGAATTCATTCAAAGACAGTCACCAGTCATGTTACCTGCCATACCCAATATCTTCTTTCAGTTTTCTGACTTAACTGATTCCATCCATGTCCCATGAAAGGCATAGCCCTACTTTACGGCATAATCCCACCTGCCTCCAACAAGAACTGATTGGATCAGTAGCAGACACTTGACCTTGACCAATAGAAGCAACCTATAAATTAGGGAGAGCCAATCATATCTCTCTCTCTCTCTCTCTCTCTCTCTCTCTCTCTCTCTCTCTCTCTCTCCCTCTCTCTTGACTATAGTCAAGTAGTCAAATTGTAGTAGGCATTGGACTTGTGAGTAGTTCACTTATAATCAAGTGTGAGGAGGAGGCAAACAGAATGAGCATTATGTTAGATTGCAAAAACGGCCAAGAATCTTCCCTCCCCTATAGGTAAGCACTTTTTCAATGTGACTTTGCAGCTCTTCACATCAAGGTGAAGTCTATTTCTTGATCCATTGAATCTAGACTTGGTCATGTGACTTGCTTCAGCCATGCAATGACACAGCTTTCTTTCTTACTTTCATTTTTTTGTGGATATAACACACAAAATTTTTCACATGGATATTTATAGCAGCTTTTTTCATCATTGCCAAAACTTGGAAGCAACCAAATGTCCTTCAGTAGGTGAATGAATAAATTGTGGTATATCCAAGAAAAGCAAAAAGAAAGAGCAAAGCCAAGAGACAGAAAAAAAAGAGAGATCAATTTTTTATAACATGGTGTGAACTCCTGGATCCAACCACACCTGAAGTTCCTGGACTTCACAGTTACTACTTTATTTAAGCAGGTTCAAGTTGGTTTCTGCCTCTTACAACTCAAAGCATCCTAATTTACTATGTCATCTCAGTCTGTTTAAAGTGTATGATCTGTATATGATCTCCTCTCCTGCCATTTCACAGACGTGGAAAATGTAGTCTCTTGGGTTTCTCTCTCAAAAGATCAAGGCATCAAAGAAAATGTCATGACAGCACTTAGACACCCATGGAGCAAGAAGCTCCATGGGCAGTGGAGTCATTAAAAAAGGTAACAATTTATATTATCTCTGAAGAACAACAGTAAGAAAACGAATATATTCTGATGATTATGAAAGCATTTACTATATTCTCGGCCTCTGCAGAAATCTGTCATACTTTCAAAAACCTACAATTTCCAATCTAATATCCATTATTCGTGGTAAATGGTAATCTTCATGATATGAAATTTGGCTTTATTTTCCTTTCCTACCTTAAAATTGGCATCTGCTGTGGAAGATGGGGAGGGGACATTGCTGCTTTGGCTGCCTCGAATTTGTTCCATTTTTTTTGGTTACTCAATGTTTTCCTTTGAGGAGTGATCTTTGGACACAGTGTAAGGAACAAGCAAACGACCCAAGCTAAATTAGTCAAATATTCCTCCTGGGTATTTGAATATTGAACAGAAGTACAAAAGGATTTTTTTAAGTTTTTGTTTCCTTATTTTGGCAGCCTCACCTTGACAAAATCTTTGGGTAGTTTCTGCATGCAGCTTCACACCAGAAATGTTCCCATTTGTTCTTAGAGACACCTAATAGCCTCCTAATAAATTCATTTTACTATCAAAGTGCACCAGAATCAGTTTCTATTGCTTACACTAAAGGCTGTTGTAACAGAGCAGCCTAACTCTCTAGCAATTATCTATGCTCCCCTTCCAGAGTACAAAGTTATTTCTGGAAGGCACTACCAGCCAGGACTCTATTTCCATGTGTCCCACCACCCTGTGAGTTCATGTAACTCGTTCTCATTTACAGACTACGAATGGCAGTGACCAGTGTCATTTCCAAAACCTAGTGGTTAAGAAGTAAATATGCCATCTCCACCCTCTCTCTCTTCCTGCACGAGTAGACTAGATGTTGTCACCCAGGGCGATCTTGGATGTCACATGTTGAAAATGGTAGAGGCTTCTTCAGCTTGGGTCCCTGAATAACAGTGTGGACCCAGACGGCCACATCCTTACCACCCCCCTTCCCATGACCCCTATTCTCCACCACCCCTTGGACTTGACGAGAAACTTCCATCATGTTAAGCCATGGAGATTTCAAATTTTACCTATTATAGCAACTGGCAGTACTTTTACTAATGCAAGCCCAGCTAATACAAATGAAAATGCAAAAGCATTTTATTAGCATTTTGAAGACTCTGAAACAACTGGAGAAAGTCTATTTGGCAGTGGCAAGAGTCATCCGACACTTCTCCCAGGGATCCAGCTGTCCGGCTGCCAGACACTGACCCTCTCACCCTCCGCCCCCCACTCCATTCTCTCCTTACCAGTAGAAAATGACATTTTCTCTCTCCTCAGTAAGAAGAGAACACGCTGCTTGATACATACGCTGCTCAAGATGAATTAGGTTCTGAAGTCTGTGTTGCCTTATTAATGACATCATGGAGAAATCTTAACACTGCTGCCTTCGGACTACTTTCAGAGCCTTCAAAGGGATTCTGAGCCAGAAAGATGCAGGTTGGACAGGCCTAAACAAAGAAGCAAGTAATATGTCCTCTGAGACAAAGAGCTTGGAAAGAGGCTAGAGAGCTATGGTTTTTATTAGTGTGTATAATCATACTTTCACAAGACAAAGAACTTTGAG